GGTATGCATGCCTGTGGATTTAATGTGTAGGTAAAGAGGATGTCAGATCTCTTGGAACTGAAGTTACAGGCTTGAATTACAGGTATATCCCACCATACTGTCTCTCTCTAGGTTTTCCTTTCTCTGGTGAAAGTTTCTCCATCTGTTTGCTCATTATGATCATTATCTTTCATTTAATTATTTCATTGAACAGATTAAAGACCTCTTTAGTGCTGTTCAGGTAGGTCATTTTGTATATTCTTCTTCTTGACTGCTCTACAAGTGTGGATGGTTCATTATAGAATGAATCATTCTATATACAATATTCTTATATATTATATTCATTATATATATATATTCTATTCATTATAGAAACTCTGAATCTGTCTCTTCTTAAAATACTAACAGTTCAATGTGGCCTTGGCCTTACATCTGAAAATGACGAGTGTGTTTGTTTTATCCATATGCCTAAAGCAGATCCCTTAGAACATTTTGTCATCTCAACTCCTGCTCTTTTTCAGTGTCACGGGGAAGCCTGAGATCCTTTCTGCTAAGGAGGGTAGGAATCAAATCTAAATTCTTACCTGATCTCATGGGCACGAGCTGGAGTCTTGGCTCAGTTCCTTCAGTCTTCCAGCTGCTCTTCCCATTGAAATTCTCAGTTTCCCTTAATGTATGTCGTTTGGGTGTTAAACATGGATTTGAGGAGAATTTAAATGTATTTTCTAATACCTCTTCCTTTCCCTGTGGTTCTCTCCTCTGTGGAATTTCTGTTCTCAATTGCCAACCACTGTGGCAGTTCTGAACTCCATGCTTTGTTAGCTCAACCCAGTAGGCTGTGGCTTGCCCGACTGTTGTATTTACCATCACCTTGCTGACTGGACTGTTCAGTGCTTCCAGGAGAAACAGACTCACATCTTACCCAATGTAGTTCTTTTTCAGCGCTCCCCTCCCTTTCCCACCCATTTTCAGTGCCTCACATAGTTTGAAATATATTTTGCCTAAGTTAAGCTGTTATCCAGAGCAAGGTTAACTCATTGTAACATTTCTGCCATTGTTGGAATCAGAATTCTTTTGTTGTGTTCCTTTATCCCCAACCCCTCCCCCACTTTTTGACATGGTTTATGTAGCCCATGCTAATTCCAAAATCCTGGGATTATAAGCGTAGACCACTAACCATCCTGAAAACTGAAAGAAAAAAAAAACAGAATTCTTTGTCGTAAGTTTTATTAGTTTATTCAATAATTATCAGTTCATGTGTATTTTTTTTAAACACTGTATAAGAATATTTTTTAATTGATCTAATGAGCTCTACCTTTTTCTCTGTTCCCCTCCCCTTCAGCCCTCTCCCATGGTCCCCATGCTCCCAATTTACTCAGGAGATCTTGTCTTTTTCTACTTCCCATGTAGATTAGATCTATATATATGTATATATATCTCTTGGGATTCTCAATGTTTTCTAGGTTCTCTGGGATTGTGATTTGTAGCTGGCTTTCTTTGCTTTATGTTTAAAAACCATTTATGAGTGAGTACATGTGATAATTGTCCTTCTGTCTGGGTTACCTCACTCAATATGATGTTTTCTAGCTCCACCCATTTGCCTGTAAATTTCAAGATGTCATTTTTTTCTGCTGTGTAGTACTCCATTGTGTAAATGTACCACATTTTCCTTATAAGAATAATTTTAATGGGACCAGAGAGATAGCTTAGGGGTTAAGATCACCTGATACTTTTAGAGAAGACCTACGTTCAGTTCCCAGCATCCATGTGGAAATTTACAGCTGTTCATAGCTCTAGTTCCATAAGTGTATTCTGGCTTATTCAGGTAACAGGCACACATACTCATGCATTGTACATGTGTACATGCAGGCAAAACACTTATACACATAAAATAAGAAAAATGTTTAAAAATACTTTTAATATGCTTTGAAATAATTTCAATTTAAATGGTAAATGAAACAAGGAAACGTTTAAAAGAAGACTTACTTCAGAACACTGTCAGTGAGAGCTAGGGCTACAGATGGAAAGGGTTTTTTTTTTCTACCAATTTTTTGAAAAATAATAATTGGCCAAAAGCAAATTTTAGAATTCTGTTTATGCTTTTATAAACTGACAAGTGAATTAATAAATAAATGTGAGAAGACACAACTCTTCCCTACAGAAGGATTCCAATTTATAAAAATGTAGAAGGAAGAAGAAATTTAAGATTCACCATTACAGAGTTACTATAGGCAAGATCCTTCAAAGGTTACTAGAATTAGTGGCAGAAATTTAAAGTAGAAACTATTTGCATACCCTCAAAATATTTTCTGTGATATATTTAATAATTCCCAAAGGGGAATTCCACACTCCCGGCACGGCCGAGTGGTGAAGGCAAAGAGCAGCAGAACTGTTAGCATCTTTTGATGTGATGCCCTGAGACGGAAGGGAGGGCCTGTCATCTCACTTGTATCCTCAAATAATGGCCTCGTTCTGATCGTGAGTTGAGGGAGATCCTATTGATTAACTGACTTAGAAGTGTCAGTCATGAAAGACAAGGAAAACTGAGAACTAGCGCCAGGTTCTAGAAGACTGCGGAGGTATGACAAAGAAATGCAGACCCAGTCCCTGACAGGAGGAGACGGGGACCTACACTTCATGGACTGTCAAGTCACACACACACCTTTGTGATTGAAGGCTTTACCCAGCACTTAACTACTCTAGCAGAGGATCCAAGTTCGGATCCCAGCTCCCACATTAAGTGGCTCACAAATGCTTGTAGTTCCAAGGCAGTGGTTCTCAACTTCCTAATACTGCCACCTTTTAGTACAGTTCCTCATGTTGTGGTGACCTCCAACCATAAATTTATTTTTGTTGCTACTTTCTAACTGTAACTTCGCTACCTTTATGAATAGTAACATAAATATCTGTGTTTTCCTATGGTCTTAGGCAGCCCTTGTGAAAGGGCCATCCCAGCCCACAGCTTGAGAACCAATGTTCCAGAGGAGTCATGCATACCCTTCCAACTTCTGAGACAGAGGCATACCTACACACACACACACACACACACACACACACGCACGCACACAAAATCTTTAAAAAAAAACCCTCCCAAAAAGAGTCTTTCTATGTAGCCCAGGTTGGCCTCAACTAGTCATCCTCTTACATCAGCACTGAAGTGCTGGTTCTGTAGGTGTGTGCCACCATGCTTGACTCCAAGTTATCTTCCCTGAGTATTGTGTGCTGCTGGGGATTGAACCTAGAGTTTAATGCATGCTAGGCAAGTGTGTAGTCTGCCACTGAGTTACATCTACAGCCCGGTTTCTTTGTTTTGATAAATGTTCTCAGAGATATCATATTAGGGGGAAGCTGAGTTAAGGAAGTACAAAAACATCTTTGTAACTTCGGTAAATATGAAATTTCTCTTTATTCATAAAACAGGTTTTTTAATCAGTGTTAAGTGATTGTGGCTTAAATGTCATCACCTTGGTTCTCAAAGACCATTCCCAGGCCAACAGTGTCAGCATCTGCTGGAAATTGTGCTTCATCAACCCCCCAGGTGATTCTGAAGGCACACACAGTGGAGAACAATGGTCTGTGCTGTAGATTCTGTACTATTCACAACAACTTTAAATTGAAAGCACACTCAGGAGCCTGAGGTAGGAGGGATTGCCACAAGTTTAATCACAAACAGGACTATATTGTGAGATTCTTTCCCAAAAAGGGATAGCTGGGGTCTGGAGAGGGCTCAGAGGTTAAGGGCACTTACTGCGGTTGTATAGTGTTGGCACACACCTTTTATCTCAGCACTCAGGAGGCAGAGGCAGGTGGACATCTGTGAGTTTGAGGCCAGCCTGGTCTAGAAAGTTCTTGGACAGCCAGGGCAGCACAGGGAAACCCTGTCTCGAAAAACCAAATTAATTAATTAATTAATTAACTAATTAATAAAATAATGTGTTTTGGCCATGTGTGTACACCTTTAATCCCAGCTCTTAAGAGGGAGAGGCAGGTAGATCTCTTGAGTTCCAGGACAGTCAGGGGTACACACAGAAACCCTGTCAGGGGGGCAGGGAGGTTAAGGCATTTTTTGCCATGAAGGAAAACTGTACTGTAGTCAATATTTGTGTCCATTTCCTAGAGTTGTGACTTTAATCTTCTGGTCAGACTCCCAAGTGTAATTCAGACCTACTCTTTCTGTCATTCTTTTTTCTTTTGCTGTTGTGGTTGAAACAAGGTTCAGCTATGGATTCCAGGCTGGTCTGGAACTGGTCATATAGCCTAGTCTGGCTTCAAGTTCACAGTCCTCCTCAGTGATAGTTTACACTGTGTGCCATCATGTCTGACTTATAATTAATTGCTATTTTAAACAGACCATGGGTTCTTAAATTTAACACTTATTTTATTTCTTTTATTTTCAGACATAGTATCACTGTGTCGCCCAGGCTAGTCTCAGACTTACAGTCTTCCCACATTGGCCTCTATAGTGCTGGGATTATACCATATCTGGCTGAAGTTTACATTTTAAAAAATGTTGTGTATCCAATCCTCTATCTCCCATTCATACCATGAATCCCTACTCATTTGTTCATGTGGCTTCTGTGGGCTCTCTCCTTACCTCTTCTCTACTGTTCCTTCAGCAACCACACATTTATAAATAGAATTGTATGTTGGTTTAGAGAAATAGAATCTGACAGTATCTAAAACAAATTAAAACAAAAAAAAAGTGCTCGTTCAGTCCCAGTCCAGCTGGTCTTGGTGAGTTCTCATTAGATCAGTCCCCTTGTATCAGTGGGTTAAAGCACTCCTCACGGTCCTGCATTCCTTGTTCATGTTCTCCCTCCTTCTGCTCCTCCTTTGGACCTTGGGGGCTCAGTCCAGTGCTCCATTGTGGGTCTCTGTCTCTATCTCCCTCCATCGCCGGATGAAGGTTCCCTCTGATCCTGAGTGGAGACTTTTATAAATTAATTAAAAAAAAAGAAAAAAATTTAAAAAAAATGAGGACATGAGGGCAAGAAAAAAAAGTGATTTTTTTTTCTCTACAGACTTACAACAGCTGTGCCAGGCTCTGCATAAACCAAGAGACAGTATGTCTGACGAGCACTGCTATGAAGACTGAAAACTGTGTAGCCAAAGTGAGTAACAGTGTTCACCCTTAGCATCATACCGCATTGCCACAGCGCTGCGCCTGTAGTTCTTTATTCAGTGTTGTTACTACAGACTATCGTATGATCATGTATTTATGAAAAGACTGCAGGCAGGCATTACTTTATACAGAGTAAACTGAAAGTTGGGTTTTCTAGATCTTCAGCTGCTACAGAATCTTTTGATTATCCAGTCATACTGATCAGTAAAATTTGTATAACAGTTTGTTTTGTAACTTTCTTTGTGGCTTATTTTTGTTGTTGTTCTTTGTTTTAGTTTTTGGTTTTTTGCAAGACAGGGTTTCTCTGTGTAGCCTTGGCTATCCTGAAACTCACGAGGTAGACCAGGCTAGCCTCAAGATCTGCCTGCTTCTGCCTTCCGAGTGCTGGGATTAAAGGTGAGCACTGCCATGCCTAACCTCCTTCAAGTGTAGGTGTAGCATACCAGAAATACACTGGTGTGGCAATGTGTGCAGCGTGAGATGGCTGCAGAGATCCCAGGTGTGTTGTGCCACTGCTACGTAAGAAATGTTGTGTTTGGTGATTTTGAGTGGAAAAGTGTGTTTAACTGACATAGGAGCCAAGTCTTTCATGTATAAATGTGTGTTATATCTCTAGTTACAAGGATAATATTAAAAATTAGAAATCTTCAGGGCTAGAGAGATGGCTCAGTGGTTAAGGACTGCTCTTGTATGGGGCCCAGGTTCCTTGTCAGCACCACATGATGGCTCACACCATCTGTAGCTCCAGTTCTGGGGACCCAATGTCTTTTTCTGGCCTCTGTGACCATTGCATGTACATGGTACACAGAAATACAGACAGGCAAAGCACCCATACATAGAAAATAATTTTTTTTTAAATTAGAAATCTTAAAAATTCTTCTTTCAGTTTCTAGAGTGATTGGAAGGAGTTTGTTAGCTTTGCCATCTGAAGGATAATGTTCAATATGAGTTGTATTTCTAGAGTTTGTCTTCATGTTTATGCAAAAATAATCTTTATTACCATTTAGGGTTTTGTTTTGTTTTGTTTTACAACTTTCTCAACTTTCAGCTTAATCTCTTGTGTCATGTACAGGCTATCATTTTTAGATATTATCATTTTGCTATCATTATTAGAGATAGGACTTTGTCATGTGGACTTCATCTTTGTTATAAAATTCATGAAGAGCTGTCTTATTTCTTTTGTGTTAATATAACAAAAAATAAACAAGGTAGACTGGAGAGATGGCTCAGAGGTTAAGAACACTGACTGTTCTTCCAGAGGTCAAGAATTCAATTCCCAGCAACCTCATGAAGGCTCACAACCATCTATAATGTGATCTAGTGCCCTCTTCTGGCCGCAGGCCAGCCTGGTCTGCAAGAGCTAGTTCCAGGACAGGCTCCAAAGCTACAGAGAAACCCTGTCTTGAAAACCCAAAAAAAAAAAAAAAAAAAAAAAAAAAAAATTCACTCTTCTTCATAGATAGAGCCTTTCTATAATCTCAGGATGGAAGGAATGACCAAGCCCTCTGGGATCTCTCATTAATCCATTCATAAATTTACTTAGGGCTCTAACTCTGTTCATGAAGACTCTGTTCACAATTAGGTAGTTCAGGATATAGGAGCAACAATAATTTTTATTATATTTCCTAAAACACATGGATATCTCTGGCCTTGCTTTATTTGCTGAAAACATACATCTTATAGCCATTGAAATTAGCCATATGAGAAATGTCAGAATTTATTTTAAATTATAGCTACAAAAGGTAGGTTCATCAAATTGTGTCTTAAGGCCACATCTTAATTTTCTACAAAAAAAAATAAGGAGTAACATAAATTACACTTAATCTTCAGTTACTTAGTAATAATTTCTAAGTGCTACTTAGCCCTGTTTTATATTTAGCATTGGTGTCTGGAGACAGGGATCCAAAAAAATATTCTTTTAATCCTTTTTTCAGACATGCTGCTCTCACTTCATCACAAGTGAGTTACTTCTGGCTAAACAAGGCAAAAAGTTAGCCTGAGCACCAATCCAAGGACAGGGTGACAGTTTTAATGCGTTTCATTGAGAGCTGGCCAACTGAGCATCTGTTCCTTTTGTCTTCATGTACTTGGTAAGCCAGTGTTCCCACACTCCTTACCATGTTGTTGTGTCTGTGCAGTGTGGTGTTGTTTGCTCTCTGTTGTTGTTGTTGTGTCTGTGCAGTGTGGTGTGGTCTGCTCTCTGTTGTTGTTGTGTGTCTGTGCAGTGTGCTGTGGTTTGCTCTCTGTTGTTGTTGTTGTTGTGTCTGTGCAGTGTGGTGTGGTTTGCTCTCTGTTGTTGTTGTGTGTCTGTGCAGTGTGGTGTGGGTTTGCTCTCTGTTGTTGTGTGTCTGTGCAGTGTGGTGGGTTTGCTCTCTGTTGTTGTGTGTCTTTTCCCACCTTCCCCTTCAGTGGCACAGTTAGAGATCTTCTGGCATCCAGCATGGTGGTGTGATTTCTTCCATGCTCTTGGGTGAGGAAATAAGTTTGCTCGTTGCTGCTCATCAGTCTCTTTCTTTTGCTCCCAGATGGTGACCTTCTCATCCCATTCTTGCTTGTTTTAACATTATTCTGACACCTATTTTCTTTCATTGTCCCTTAACCACTCTAATTGAATAATGATTTCTATAATTTCCAGTTGGAACACAACCAAATTCCTGGTTCCTTTTATTGGCCCACATCCTGTCTTCTAGTTCATTGCTTCAAATTTGAGCCAAGTCATCAAATAAAAATACGTAACTGCAAAAATGTTTATTGCAATAGCAGCCTCCACTAGCATGGCAACAGTGAGTTTTCCTTTCTTACTGCTAAACGTGTTCTATCTGTCTCATGATTTCATGCTGCCTCTCCTGACCTCATTTACTGCTTGACCTTTGGAAAAATGACTCAAAGTTATTTTTGTTGGTCTGTGACCATTTCTCTATTTCTTGTTCTTCATCTTTAGTTCTTACAGTAGTTTTGTCTGCCAGTGACGTGACTGTGAGGCTTGCCTTCAGATACTGGTACAAGTGTCTGATACTGATTCAAACCTTGCCCCAGTGTCACCTGCATGTCCCGCTGTCTCCATGTGAGAGCCACTGTAATACAGTGAAGCTAGCCTTTTTTTTTTTTCCTTTTACAGTTCAAAGCAACTGAATTTCGGTCAGAGTAATTATGGGTTGGGTATAAATACTAATTGTAGTCTTAGACCTTTTATTAAATATTACTTATTACATTTTACAGAAGACATTGGTCCTTCCCAAAAGCAGGAATGAACCCTGTAGCATTTTCTGTGTAGCTTTCCTCTGCCAGTTACCCTCCATGAAAAGGACTCCCTTTAGTTCTCGATAGTGTAAGAAAGCACAGCTGCTTCTTAAGTCGCCCTAGGTGGACAGCAGTCTCCTGAATCTTCAGCTTGAAAGAAACACAGATGAAAGTGGAGAGGGGTCCAGGTAGTATTTGAAGCCATGAAGTGTCTTGCATATAGTTTGCCCTTTTTGTCTGTCTGTCAGTTCGTCTGTCTGTCTGTCTGATGTAACTCTGGCTCTGTAGACCAGACTGTCCTTGAACTCACAGAAACCCACCTGCCTCTACCTCCCAAGAGATCAAAAGGTGTGTGCCACCACTCCTGGCTAGTTTGCTTTTTCAAACATCTTATCTGCTTATAGCCCTAACATTTATGAGATTTGTGTGGGAGCCATGATGAGCTCTATATTTATTATAGTTTTAAATGGACAGTCATTATTGACTGTCAGCTCAGTCTTTAAAATCTATAATCACATTGTACCTAATTGTCAACCTTCATGTTTTTTAATTATGAAAGAAAACTGAGAACATTAATTTTTATGTTATCTTATTATTGACTTTATTGAAATACTACAGAAAATTTTAGTTTGAGGCTTTTCCATAACTTACGTTTATACCTCACACCCCTTCCATAAACATGTACAGTTAAAATTGAGTTGTTAGGATTCCTCTTCCTTGATTCCTGACCTACATTGGGAAAGTTCTGTCTTTGTTCAGAATCAAGTCCATTCAGTGGTCTTGTGTTCATTCTGTATTTCTGTTGTTTGTTATTACTGTTTTTTTACTTGAGACTAATAATCTGTTTGAATCTGACTGAGACAGAAAGATGTGATGTTCCTTCCCACTCACTCCGGATTTTGATAGAAGACTTGTTTTATTTATTTCCAAAATTATATCCGCAGGAAACAAGCTGTTTAAATTCAGATTATGCTGAAGCAAAATGGTCCTGGTATGAGAAGCAACGTGCTGTTTTACGAGCACAGAGTCCCTTTTCTCATAACTGATTGATAGTAAATATTTTCCTGAAGAATTATTGCCAACCATGAACAGTACAACTGTTTCACTTTCTTTCCGTGCTCCTTGCTGTACCAGCCATTGTCGGTAATTAAGATCTACAATTCACAATGCAGACGTTTGCACTTCCTCTGGGTCTGCGCTATTTATAAGGCGTTTCAGCTGTTCAGAGTTTCTTCTGAGTTTTAAACTACATGTTAACAGGCTCCTTTAATATACTGTTCCACAAGTAGGAAGTCAGATGTCTGTTGTTCACACAGGCCCTTCTGACAGATCTGCAGTTAGCTTCGTGGTGAACACAGCAGGATGTAATTGTATCATCAAGGCCAATGTGATTCGGAAAACGTGGAAGTTTAACACTGTTTTAAAGAGGGCAAGGATGAAATTCAGAATTAACATCTTTTTTTTCATCTTTAAATAGTCCATGAATTTAATGTTAATGGTTACCAGGGTTTTAAGAAATATAGAATAAAGTGACTTCTGGCTAGAATTCATAATATTTGTCAAATTAAGAATGTGAAAGTATATTCCGTCTAGTTGTGCATGACTTTTTGTCTCAAAAGACTTGGACAGAATGGGTTAGCAGATTGATAACACACTTGTTGTTTAACAGAAACCTGAATGTGCACATGCTGTGTATCAGGAAAGTGTCAGCAGAGAGCTTAGCCTCTATTAAAATTGGTCAAATTCAAAGAGTTTTAAATCCAAAACAGAATTGATCGTAAGAAGTCCAGACTCCTCCAGGAATCTCTACAAATGATGTCATAAACAGAGTTATTATGCAGTCTTATTGCCACAGGCACTCATTGTCAAACATACAAGAAGAAACAAGAAACTGAAAGCTGTCAACAAAATGTGTTTAAAACTCTGCCCTGGGTGGATCTCACCCTGGTTGTTCTTGAGCCTAGACTCCAACTGCATTGATTGTGCATACTGGCCCCCAGCATCTTCCAGCAGAGTAGATCTGTGCAGAAAGGCAGGCGCAGGTTTCATTGCTGCTTCTTGATGGCCCTTGAGTAGAGGTGGTTTCTAACACAACCATTCCAAGGCAGTGTGATCAGAACCCAAAAACTTTCTGCAGTTTTTTTTTTTTCCAACTCCAGTGATTGTGTGAACTTTCTCAGTGAACTCTCTGTGAAGGTTTGTGTTTTTGGTTTTTTGTTTTGTTTTTAAGACAGCATGATTCGGCTGTTGGGAGCCACTGATGTATCTGGCTGAGGCTCTTCAAATGCCAGAAGACCCTGTTCACATTTCTATCTAGCCAGGGGGCCAATAAGATCAAGTTTGTCTTTGTGACTTGTTCTACATCAGCATGAGATACACCCAGTCATTGTCTTCCTCAGTGAGAAAGGAAAGGTTATGAGGGAGAGGGATGAAAGAAGAAAGTTCTTCATCAAGAATTGACTGCAGTATTGCCTACTGATGCATGTCGGATCACCCGCACAGAGAGATCACATGGCTTCTCCAAAAGTCAAACGATCAATTCGCCTCGTTTTGGCTCTGTACTTAATGCACAAACAGTGCGATCTGCAGGGCTGTAATTGCATTGTTAGGGCCAAGGAACAAGCCTGTGCCTTTTCAGCAGACAGCTGGCAGGGAGAGAGGCATGTTGTTAGGAAAGAGAGAGGCAAGGCAAATAAAATTACTGCTAACGCTCAGAGATCGGCAGGAGTCCTACTTGCCTAATCTTACCGGTGGGAGCAAGCGGCTGTTGTAATCCAATTATAGCAGCATAAGCAATTTGTTAGACACTCCGCATAATGTAACAATTTCCCAATAAACTCTGACTTGTAATAACGTCGGCAAGAGTCCGCATAAATCTGCCCGAATGGTGGGGGCTGGAGCGTTCGGCTGGGGGCTTGTAATTGGCACCATCAGCACGTTTTGCGGAGTGCAGTATGGTGCAGTCTTTTAGTGCAGGAATTTTAAGGAGAAAGGCATGGCACATGTTTCTTAGAAAAAGAAAAGTGGCCATTAAAAGGGGAGCAGCAAGAAGGACACCCTCTTGCCTTCACATTACCTAGGAGTCTCAGTGTAGAAAGAAAACAAGAGGAAGCCATGTTTCCTTCTATCTAGATCTAAAGAGAGATGAGGAGAAAGTATGGATTAGTTAGATCCTTTATTTAAAAGGCATCAGTTTCTATTATTTATACCCTCAATTTCCAACTCCCTAAGAATGCTATTTGGGTAGCATCTAGATAACCTTTTAACAAATGGTCTTAGCTAGGTAAGCCTTGAAATGCCAAGTTTACCTATTTTCTTTAGAAGTTTAACATTTTCTTTATGTGTGTGTGTGTGTGTGTGTGTGTGTGTGTGTGTGTGTGTCCATGTGTCTGTGTATGTGTGTGCTCGTTCATACAACCAGGACAAATCCCTTCAATGTTATCTCTGAATATCAAACCTTTCTGTAGACTCCTGCCTTCTACTTTAAAGAACCATTGTTTACTAAAAGGGTTTAAACCCAGCCAGGATGTTTGGCTTACTGTACTAGACTGCTTGCATAGTATCTTAATTCTAAAATACATTACGAATATATGTAATACTAGGGTTGCCGATTAAGTTTGTTGAAAACTTGCATTGAATAAAAGTATGTTATTTAAAATATACCTGTATGATTCTTTTATAAATAGCTGTGGTTCCTAGTTAATAATATTTCTGTTTTATAAAAATGTTATAGGGCATATGTGGGCTACTCTTACTTATTGAGTGGTGTATGTAGTCACAGACTGAGGTTTTTATTTATCAAGGTAAGGGAGATGAAGAATGTGTTACAGATGTCAGTTAATAGATGCAT